AGGTGGATTGATTCAGTGACTGGGGTAATCGGGATGGGTGTGTCAGAGGCAATGAGATTGGCACAGGTTAGAGCAGGGTTTAGGGCTGTTGTACATAGGGTTGCTATGACTTGCAAACGACTCGATGGCACATAACCACCACCACCACCTCTGGGATTGCAGTGCAGTGTCTTGCCACTAGGCCACCAGAGCTCCCTCAAGCCATAGTCTTTTCAATTACTTGCTATGCATTTGACAATTGGACAGTGAATAAAGATGGCAGAATAATTATTGATGTCTTAAGAGTTGAGGAGCTAGAGAAGAGTACTGAATATCCCCTGGTCTGTCAAATTTGTCTTGGAGAGGGTGCAGCCAGGGAGCTCCTTAGACAATGGTGAAACTGTCTTACGTACTTTGGGCATGTTGTTAGAAGTCAGTCCTTGGAGATGGACATCATGCTTGGAAAAGTGGAAGGTCGGTGAAGGAGGGGAAGACTCTCAATGAGATAGACTGACACAGTGACTGTAACAATGTGCTCAAGTGTGGCAGAGATGATGAAGATGGCACAGGATAAGGCAGGGCTCAGATCCGTTGTTCAGAGGGACACTATCAGCTGACTTGAGGGTACATAAAAACAGCAACAAGCACCCCTGCCTCTACTCCAGACTGAGATGCACACCCTGCCCGGTGAGACAAACCTTGCCTTTTACAAAATTCTTCTGTGGGTCTGGGCAGCTTGGTAGCAGAGACTGTCTTTTCTGGTGTCTGAACCCACCCAGACCTTGCTTTCAGGTGGTCTAGAAATGATTATGAGGCACAAATGAAGGAAAAGTAAGGATGCTGCTTCCGAAGAATACGAGATGGCAGGAGTGTGATCATACATCCTGACAGGATGCTCTTGATCTGTTTTGGTTTCTTTAAAGTTCTGACTTTATTAGGTATGTTGAGGTGGCCTGGGGTGAGCCCTAGCTGGTTTCACATCCTCCTGGTAGGAAATGATGGTGAGGAGATGAATGCTTGGTGAAGGCTGGGGGCAATGACTGAGGGGGCTGGAGCCAGTCCTGCTGATCACCCCTCATCCCTTCCTCCCGGTGCACTGGCTCCTCAAGGATCATCAACACATGGTGAGAATCTGCTTTGAAGACACGAAGGGCTTCATGGAAGCTTCCAAGGCGCGTTGGTAGTCTTGCAGGGGGACCTCAGAGCAGGTGGGGGCTGTGAGCTGGCCTCTCTGGATAAAGCTGCACAGTGTGAGGATCAGCTCCTTGAACTGCTCTGTGGGAGGATGGGGACAAGGGAACATGAGCTGGGGTTCAGAAGATGGCATCGGGCTGCCGTGGGGACAGGAGCAAGCTCTGGGTCTCCAGAAAAGCTTGGTTATGCCAGGTACTGGGGGAGGTAGTGGCAACCAGCATGGGGACAGGGGAACCTTGGAAATAGCCTTGGGAGCAGCAGGAGGGGTGGAGACTGCCATCAGAGCAGTGGCTGAGATGGCTCAGACCCACCCACAGGGTGTGCCCAAGAGTCCTGAGTGAAGAGAAGGGCAGGATTACAGGAAGGTGGGGACAGAGGCAAGAGGGAGGCAGGGGTGTGCTCGGCACACCCATTGATAGAAAACAAATGAGCTTTGTCCAGGGAAAGGTGCCTTCTGGAAGCCCTGGACTCTCTCAGCTCAAGAGTTGAGCTTTTCCTCCTTTCCACCATTTCCTCCGCGGGGCTGCCTCTCACAAGCATCCAATTCGCTCCAGGAAAATGACACAGCCTGGGTAAGGTATGTTTTTTTAGTTTGCCTTTTTCTTTTTAACAGACACAAAATTCACCCAATATTTAAAACAAATCACATCATTCCTTGCTTAAAATCATTCAGCACCTCTCAAAATGTCTTTAGCATAGAATCTGAACTCCTCCACAAGATGTATAGGGCTTTTTGGAATCATCATGACCCAGCTGCCTGGCATCCCTTCCCCTGCTCAGACCTAAGGCTCTCCTTGTTCAGAACCACCTGCAGTGTCCTGGTGAGTCACACTCCCTGGTGGGCTTTGGTACATGCCAATTTTTTTTTTCTTGCCAGAACTAGTCTATCCATGTCACTATTCTCCTCCCTTCACTAAGCTAACTCCAGGTGATTGCCTAGTTTCATAGTAGAGAAGGATGGCTCAGAGACTGGTTATTGACAGCTTGCCTGCACCACTCCTTAGGTGGGGTTGACTACAGGCAGGCTATTTAACCACCTGCACATTCAATTTTTTCTTTTATCAAAGAGGGCTAATGATAATTCAAGCTATTAAGACATTTAAACTGAGGCAGAAGTTAAGTGACTTGCCTGAGGTCCCACAGCTAGCTAGGCAAAGCCTACACGTAGGAATGGTGGAAGCAGTATTTGAAGACGGACAGGCTGGCTCCAGAGAGATTCTCTTTACTTGGCCATCTGACATGGCAGCCTTTTCCACTGCCAGCTCTTTAGGTGGGGGTGAGTGTGGGTGGGGGCGGGGTGTGGTTAGCATCTGTCTTGTTCAACACTTTGCTCTAATTTTGTCTGAAGGAACTATTTGTTGGAGGAAGCTGTGGCTGGAGGCTATTTTCCTCTGTCCTGCTGTGGACTCAATCACCTCTATAGGGCAGAGGTGGGCCACTTCTGCAGACCTTCTTTGGCACCACACTGTCCTGGGACCCTTAGGCCCCAGACTGAGGCCATCGTCCACTCACCTGCACTGTGGTCCTTCTTCCACTGGGACAACCAAAAGCCCCGGAGTCTGACATCCTTAAAAATGAGCAGGCTCTGTGGACAGAGGAATGGCATGCTGGGGCTTGGAAGTCAAAGACTTCAGGTACTGATGAGGGGTACAGGGAGAAGGTCAGTGCCTGACAAACTCAGTGCCTGAGTTTAGACAACTATCGTGTCAGGGTACGAGGCTTAGTGGAAATGCCCAGCCCTGTCTTCAGATGAGCTCCACACCAGCTTACCACAGAGGCTGTTACAGGCTGCTTGGCCATGCCCCCGTAGGTCACCAAGGTTCCTCCAGGCCTGAAAAGTACAGAGAGAACAAAGAATGGATGTAGGCAGAGACAGACCCCTTCTGGAAACTACCACAGCACTGACAGTTCACTTCTGATTGCTAAACTTGCTTTCGGAATCCTTGGAAAGGTTTTTGAAAAATTCAGATTTCTAGGTATGAAGTCAGGTCGAATTAATTAGGAGATAAGAATCTATATTCATTAAAGACAACAAACAAACAAAAAAATGTGCTTTAGAGTTGAATGACCAAGTCTGGGAACCTATTGATCTAACCCACCCACTCAGGCTTTGATTAAATGTTGCAAAGAAGCATTCTGTGTTGAGCAAAGTTCACAACTCGCACTTGGGCCCTCTTCTTGCTCACAGGTATATGGGTGGTAAACAGCCTAGGCCCTGTCTTCATCTTGAAAAGCTTATTCTAGACCTCAGTGGCAGGTAAATAGCTATATAGATAAGACACAGTGAGGAAGGGTGAAGACAATGATAATTGTCTTCTCATTGCAAGAGATGCCTTATCAGAACCTGGTATCTGATACCCACACTCTCACACACCCCACCATTCCCTCTCACAGACAAACAGGAGTGATGCTAATAGTTTTTAAAAATGTTGAGTTTTTTTACAAACTAGATCTTTGCCTGCTGACCTTAATGTTCTCTTCCCAACTCCCTTGCTCCTATAGGAGTTTGTTTGGGAGAACATAATAGAGCCTTTGTAAATGACAAAATGTTAGAAATTATTATGAAGCAGGTAAGAGTAACTAACACCTTTGTCCCTAAGGCTTGTGAGTAGTTTGGTCGTAAGGTTCCGCTGATGCCACCTGACTCTGGGGGAAGTAGCTCTGGAGAAAGCGAGCCTTTTTCTGTGTCCCCATGGCACTTGATCTCAACAGACTATTCTCCACCACCATTAATTTGTGTCAAGTAAAATCAGACTCATGCAACCTCAGGCTCGTAAGAGTAGAATGGTGTTCCACAGATTTGCCGATGGCTGGTTTCTCAGAAGCAAATACCAGATTTACTACTGAGGAGGCTCTAGGTAGACATGAATCTCCCTCCAATCTTTTCTGACCTTTATCAGGGGTTTACTACAAACTCCAAGCAATCTACCTGTAATCTCAGCCAATCCTCATAGTTAGCCCTAGGAAGCACTCTTGTGATCTTCATTTTGCAGATAAAAAGAGCTGATTTCCAAGCTTCACTTGTATACCACCTTATACCACCTTGTGCTTCAGGGCAGCGAGTCACAAACCAAGTTCTTGAGGCAGAAAGGGTTTATATATCACTCCCAACTTACAGATGAAGAGACTGAGGCCTAGACAATTTTCCAAATATTGTCCAACTTTTCACAGTTTTTCAGCCAGTAAGTAGCATAGCCAGGAGTTGAATGTGGCCAGTGTGACTGCTAACACACACATGGGTTGCCTTCTGCACTAAGCTCTGGAGGCTGCCCTGTGTAGGATGGGAGGGGTATGTACACTAACTTGGGGTCCACATATATGATTAGCTTCCTAGCTGTAAGATTTTGGGTAAGGAAATCACTCCTTTGAGTCTTGTTTGAAATATAAGATGAGGATTGGAATAGTCCTCTTGTCAAAGTCTTGACAGGAGAATAATCCAAGCATTTGTACATTCTGGCTCACAGAAAGTGCTCACTGGTCATTAACACAAATCTTGTCTCCCACCAGTCCGTCAAGTTCTCAGAGGGTTACTCACTGAGGGAACTCCTGCTTTAGTTAGTGGAGTAGATTGAATTGTGTCCTTATAAAAGATATGTCTAATTTCTAATCCATGATACTTTTGAATGTGATCCTATTTGGAAACAACGTCACTGCAGATATAATTAACTTAAGGATCTTAAGGTAAGATTGTCCTGGATTTAGGGTGGACTGAAAGGATTGGTGTCCTTATAAGACGGAGACACGAGAAACAGAGAAGAAAGCAGTACTGTGTTGAGACCAAGATTGGAATGAGGTGTCCGTAAGCCAAAGCATGTCATGAATTACTTGCAGCTGCCAGAAACTAAGGCGGTGGCATGGAATGGACTTATTCAGCCTCTGAAAGGAAATATCCCTGCCAACACCTTGATTTTGGTCTTTTAGTGCTGAGAACTATGAGAGGGAAAATTTGTTGCTGTGAGCCACCAAGTTTAGGGCAATTTCTCAGCTTTGGGAAACTAAAATGGGAAGCAAAGCTGGGAAGGGCATGCAACACACAGCAGCCAGCACTCATTTCTCTCAGAGGTGGAGAACTAGGCAGTTTTTGTGCTGGAATTTTTTTGTTTTTACTTTTATGTTCCTTGGAGAGAGATATCATATTTGGCAGAGTGGAGGGACAGCGCAGGAGAGGAAGACCCTCGATGAGATGGATCGATTCTGTGAATGGAGTTGTGGGAATGACTGTGTTAGAGACAGCGAGATTGGCACAGGATAGAACGGCATTTAGGGTTCTTGTGCATAGGGTTGCTATGGGTCGCAAGCGACTCGATGGCATATAACAACAACAACTTTTATGTTGTTAGATGTTACTGAATCAACTACAACTCACTGCGACTCTATGAACAGTGGATCTGAAGCCCGTCCTATCCAGTGCCATCTTCACACTTCCTGATACACTAGTGACCATTGCGGCAGTCACTGTGTCAATCCACCTGGTAGAGGGTCATCCTCTCCTTCACTGATCTTCTACCCTTTCCAGCATCATGTCCCTCTCCAAGGAATAGTCCCTCCCAGCAATAAGCCCAAACTATATGTGAATGTTTTCAAAATTTTTAATAATAAACATAATGTTCCCTCTAGAATGAGAATCTAATTTTTAAAGTTAATAAACATTTTAAAAGTTAATAAGCTAGAAGAAGTAAGTGATTTTAAGATACCCAGGCTATGAATCCTTGCTCACTCCCTGTCACAAACACCACAGTGGTCTACATTTTGGACTCTCTTAGAGAAGTAAGGCTGAAAGTGTCTCTTGGTCATTTACTAAGGAAGAGGTTAGGAAGGGAAGTACCCAGATGATAGAGATGACATTGGTCTTAGCTAATTAAAAGTCGTGCTGACCTAGCCTTGTACTGGTCACTGGGACTTGGGTCACTTGATGACTCTTCCAGCTAAAGGCCTGGAAATTCAGGTGAATTGGACTTATAGGGCTGAGGGACTTACGCTAACTGCCGCAGCAGCTCTGTGGAGCTTTTCCCGCCGACACAGTTGAGAGCAAGCCGTGGCTGGGGAATGGTCTGCAAGACAAGGAACCACGGTGAGGGAGCCACCCGCCTCTACATGGGGCCAGTCCCTCCTTGGCCCAACTGCTGTGTCAGGAGGAAGGAGGGAAGAAAACCAATGTTCACGTCTTTGAATCATGTTTTTCCTCTACCCAGGAGTCGTCTTCTCTTTGACAACTTAATCCTCTTGTCCATTTTAAGACTTGGTTCAGAACTTAATCTCCCAGGAAAACAGACAAAAGGCATCTACTTTTGGTGTGACTGACTTCTCCTCCCTACGTAGCCTGCTTCCCAGTGCTTATAATTCAGTTTATAGTAGATGTGCTAATCTACTGCTTTGAAAATGCTGTCAAGAGGTGTATATTCTTGAGTGAGTGTGCGTGAGTTTCCTGAGGGAGTTCAGTGAAAAGACGCCAAGACAGTTTGTTCTCTCTCCAGTTCATTTACCTATTAGGCCTGTGCTGTGTGGTGGACATTCTGGAATGTTTAGTGGATTTGGGTTTTGACAGCCAGGCCTAGACCTAACTCCACCACTTAATAGCTATGTGGTCTTTGTCAAGTTTCCCACTTTGAGTCATAATATAGATGCCTACTTTGTAGATCTAGTGTAGGATTATCTGACGAAATGTAAGGTGTGTGCTTAAGAGATGGTGCTTTTCTTTTTCTTTCCTCTCCGTGCCTCAGTTTCCTCAGACCCTCTTCAAGTTCTGATTCATATCAGGAGTGTGAGCTGACATGGCCCACAACAAACAGTCAGAACTGCAAATCACATAGGTTTCCTGAACCTTTCCTCTCTCCCTTATTCTGTCATCGAGCTATTTAATGCATGCTGTTCCCTGACTCAGGGAGGGGCTTCCTCTTTCTAAGAAGAGGCCAGAGGTTCTTGGAGGGGACTAATGGAGTCAATTCTCAGCTCTTCTAAGGCAAGTTAACTTCAGGGAGTTAAGCATGAAATAGAGGGCAGTATCTCATTCCAAGTACCTTAAAGATGTTTTTCATCTCAGGTTTTCTCAGTTCCTCCTCTGTGATGACATGTTCTGCTCCCAGATTCTTCAGTCTTTCTGTCAGCTTCTGAATGTCAGGTCTGCAAATACAACAAGTCAAAGCTTTAGGTCACAGAACTCCAAACCCATCTCTTTGCAGAAAGCTGGGACTGGATTTAACCCAGAGTTCTGGCAGAGGTCAGCCTCTAGTTTCATCCTACTTTAATATCCGTTGTCCTCAATTTCCTCATTGTTAGGAGAAAGTTAGACTGTGTGATTTCTGTAGCCCTGCCAGCCCACAGATGTTAGAGACCATCTGCACCCAGGGAGAAGACACTTCAATTACTAATTTCTTCTACTGAGGTGACAAATCCCACTCCCTTTCTTCTCAAAGGATTTTTCCAGGTGGTATGCAAAACATGCTAAATCCAGAGTTCTTTTTATCTCCTCACCACTTGCTAATATTTCCTGTTAGGGAGTAAGCTTAGGTGACTATAAATAAGAGAACGGATACACACAGTGAAAATTTAGCAAAATAAGTAAAATGGATTAAGGTAATGCAGAGGCATGGTTGATGAAAGACAGAGGTAGGCCATGTGAAAGAGTTAAAGAGAAAAGGCAAAGAGGGGAAAAAAAATGGGGGAACATCCCAGGAATGTCAGAGGTGGACCCAATCCTTCAGGCAGCCAGTCAGCAGAAAGAGAGGGGGAGCCTGGTAAGGCTGGTCATAGCCCCGCCCCACTTAGGGACCAGTGGGATTAGTTGGGGTTTAGATCCCCTGCATTCCTAAGGAGGGGGCTTCTTCACCTTGATGCATCTGTTTTTTACTTCCCTTTCAATTTCCTCTGAGAAACCTTGCTTTTAGTCCTCTCCTAAGGGAGTGGAAGAGAGAGAGAGAGACAGAGAGGGGGAGAGAAAGAGAGAAAAAAGACAGGGAACAAGTAGAGTAATTCTGTCCCTTGACAATATGCACACATACTCCAGCCCTCGAGTGGCTCCAGGTAAACAGAATAATATGTCCACACAATTGTGAGGACTGGGGGAACTGAAGCAGGTACTGATTCCACCAAGGCTGGACTTGAAGGCAGACAGGGCCAAGTTTGAAGACAGTGGGGATTTAAAGGAACAACGTACTATGAGGGGAAGAGAACAAGTCAGAAAACATGATTTATTACTCACTTGCTGTGTCTCCCTGAGCACTTCCTTTCTCTCTGAAGCCTCAGTTTCCTCAACTGTAAAACTAAGAGGGCGATCGCCTTCCTATCTGTATTTAGTACAACTCAAAGTATCACACAAATGTAAGGGAAGAAAGGGCTTTGGAGGAGACAGTTCACCGTAAAAATAACATGTTGTTGTTATGTGCCGTCGAGTCGCTTGCGACTCATAGCGACCCTATGTACAATAGCCCTAAACTCTGCTCTGACATATTCCTGAGTATGAACTGTGATTTTGAAAACATAGGGTTATCACAAACCAAGTGTCTCAAAGATGCTTAGCTGTTTGGTAAGGCCAGGCTCCGCCTCCTCCTCGCTGGCTCTTACTTTCAAAGACTCACTCATCCTATAGCCAAAAGCCACCTGGCCTGCATTTCTAATGGCTGACTCACCAGTTCCAGCTGCCAACTTTAGCCGGCAGCTCTCTAACCACGAAGGCAGGCTGCCTGAGCAAGGGTGCCATCTGATGGCGATGAGGGCCCTTACAAGGCTATAATCGGAATGTGGGAGTCCAAGGATCAGGAGGACTAGGACTTTTCACGTCAGCAACTAGGCAGACATCTAGAATGTGGGCTCCCCACGCACCTGTCTCTGACCACATTGATGGTCCTCAGGCCCAGAGCTGCTGCAATCTGGATGACTGCTTGTCCCACTCCACTGTTGGACGCATTCTGGATTACAGAGTCCCCTGCAGAACCAGGAACAGACCTAAGTCAATCCCTGGACCCTGGCAATAGGTCATGGGCTCCCACTCTGGGAGCCTTCAGGAGGGCAAGAGGCAGAGGTCAAGGCTCTAAAAAGACTCAGCGTGCAGCTACTGAGTCTTCTAAGACCTTGAAGGGTCCCTCGGGGCTTCCAGACTTCCACACCATCACTCCTGGTGGCTGACATGACTTGATAACTCAGTCCATACTGACAACTCAGTCCTCATTGTATAAATGATTTTATAGGCTCTGGTGTGAAAAACACTGTATACCAACTTTATGAACTTTGTATGTAAACCAGTATAAAAAATATTGTACTCATGATCTTCTCAACTTTTATGTCCCCCCAATTTTATTTTCTATTTCTTTATTGATTTGCATACAATAATTTACATTGTGTTTCATTCATGTACACTGTTTTTTTGGGTACACTGTGTTTTAAACAATCTTTCGCTTACATTGTTTCATACAATCATTCATATACACTGTATTTGATAGAATTACTTTTGATCTCTATTATTGCCCCATGGTTTCAAGTCGTCATTGAATCTTTTCTATTCCTTCACCCTCCATCTGCCTACTAAACTCTGCTATCCTAGTGCTTTCCACTTTCCCCCTTTTCCTGCCTGCTTCCCTCTTTCCCTTTGAGACATTTATACACATATAACAAGCTATTATTACAATAATGGTTTTATGCGCTATTTGTCCTTATGAGACTGAGTTAGTTCACCCAGTATAATGCTCTCTAGACTTTCCTATGTTATATAGTATTTTAGGAAATCATTGTTCCTCAGTGTTGCATAATATTTCATTGTGTGAATGTATCACAATTTTTTTTCTTTATTTTATTATTTTTTTGTGTGTGTACCATCAAATCGGATCTGACTGGTACAGGAGGAGATTGCCCCTTCTTCTCCAGTGGAGCATCTGGTGGATTTGAACCGCACACCTGTGGGATTGCAGTGCAGCTTCTTGCCACTAGGCCACCAGAGCTCGCTGACAAGCTGCAATTTTTAAAATCAAGGATTAGAGAATGAAAAAGTAAGTGTGGCCAAGTGTTCTTTGAATTTTTTTTTCCACCCTCTTCTCTTGTTCTTTGAATTTTTGGCTTCATTCATACAGTCTGAGTAATGAAAATCTTTGGGTTTGGCATCTGTGTATTCAACCAACTGCAGATCAACCATATTCAGAAGGGGGGAGAAAAACAATTAATTGGTCAAAGCAATCCCTCAAAAGCTAAGAGGGATCATAAAATGCAGTTTACATAGCATTTGTGCTGTGTCAAGTATTATTAGTAACCTAGAGATGATTTAAAGGATATGAAAGTTTACATGAAGGGCTATACATAGGTTATAGGAAACACTATACAATGACTTGAACATCTGCAGATTTTGGTATCTGTAGGAGGTCTATTAAAAATCAGAAAAGGTATCTCCTTCAGGGAAGCTCTATCTCACATACTTTGGGGATGTGGCCAGGGCCAGTCCTTGGATAAAGATATCAATGCTTGGAAAAGTGGAGGGACAGCACAGGAGAGGAAGACCTCAGATGAGATGGATTGGGGTCGTGGGGGTACATGTGTCAGAGACAGTGAGATTGGCTCAGGACAGGGCAGGTTTCAGAGCTCTCATGCCTATGAGTCTCAGCTGACTAGACAGCACATAATAACAACAACAAGGGGTCTGACAGCCAATTCTCTGTATATGAGAAATGATTATATATATGCTGAGTTACAATGTAAAACATAATTTTCATTAAAGGTCAAAATCTTAAGTTTATTTACTATAGGTGGAGCCCATGACAAATGTGCTACAAAGCAAAAAATGAGACATGGCCAATGGGTACTTGAGGTGGAATGCTGCCAGCATGCTTGTAACTGCCCACCACAGATGCTCCTGAATGAAAAGTACCTGAGGGAAGGTGACCAATGTGTCTGCTGCAGCTGTGCTTGAGCAAAGGCTCTTGGTCCCATTCCCTCCAATGAAGGCTCGCAGGACCCATCTGTCAGGCTTTGAGGGGGACCCAGTCACCTAAGTCTACCAATGTCTCTTGGCTTAGACTGGGTATTTACCAACCTGGCCCTGGCAGGACTGAGCTCTTAGTGGTAACTACCTTCCCTAGCTTTTTCTCCCTCTCTGTCTCATTGCTGCTTCCTGAGATCATCTCCCAAATGAGCCATCTGCCCCACATCCCTATTTGAGGCTCTTGTCTTAGGGGAAACCCAAATAAAACATTCACTTACTTGCTGGGTGATCTCATGCAAATCACTCACCTCTTTCAACCAGTTTCTCCACTTATAAAAAGGAAGAGCAATGGAAGCAGCTGCCACTGCTAGCCCAGTGCTAAGTATTGCAACATTTCATTTACTCCTTAGAACTCCTGATTCTCCTACTTTACAGATGAAACGTCTGGTGATGTGAAACATCGAGCCACATAGCCAGTGACGGCGAAGCTCAAGTTTAGACCTATGTGGTCTGACTGGTGGTCTAGCAGGGGTGCACTGTCAAAGACAATGACGCCAACCATATCACAGTTATCTGAAGGTTTAACACATTCGGCAGGGGTAATGGACATAAAGGTGTTTATGCAGACTGCTGAGGGCTCTGACTGCTGAGTGGCATCGACAACACCCACTTCAGCACTTTACTCAAAGCCCAGAGTCTCTGTCTGCCCCCTGCTTTAGTTCCCTGGAGCTTAGCAGCTCAGCACGTTTTTGCTGAGTGAAAGAATTCCATCTCGATCTCTAGGGAATGTGATCCTTTGCAGTTTTCAAGGGTGTATATTTCTCATGAAGATTCAGCATGCTTTCCAGGAATCAAGATCTGTTTTCCCCTCAAGTAGGGACAATACACTCAGCCAGCTTAGAGGCCTGTCTTCTCCTGGACCCTTCCCTGGTAAATGCCCTTTGCCTCAGGGTCAGGATTTGGGTCACACCCCAGTGTGTGTGACCTGTGGGACTCTACCTGGATGCAGCTGCTCGAAGTCCATCAACATCCTGTAGGCTGTGCAGGGATTGACGGTCAGGGTGGCAGCACTTTGAAGAGGGAGGTCACTCGGAACGCTAACTAGCACTTTTTCACTGAACACAGCCTCGGTCCGCCAAGTTCCTATGTTGGAGGAGACTAGAGAGTAGAGAGAAGAGAGAAAGAACCTCCCCATCCCCAGTTTATCTGTCCCAGGACAGTATCAAGTGATACTTAGAGACAAAAGAGAATCTTGAGGTCTCTTTTAAGTCCTTGTCATAATTATGTAAGGTCAATGTTGTTATTCCCATTTTACAGGTGTGGTAGCAGGGATTATTGATTCACCCTGTTATAAAGCAGATCTTGAGCAGCCCTGGCCTCTGAGGAGAGGACAGGAAGCTCCTCACCAGAGAAGCCGAGACAGGGCCCCCTTTTCCTATCCAATTCTGATTCTTCTCAGCTAGGGCAGGTTGACTCTGTGTGGCCTTATGGTAAAGAGTATGGAAATGGGAGGCCTCAACAAAACTAGGTGTGAGACCTGCTATTCTGAGCAAATTCCAAGACCACAAGGCCAGTCTCAGTTACTCTAACACTGTAAATAACAGAGATAATAAGCCTGTCTGGCTTCCCCCAAGACCAGTGCACAGATCAATACGGGAAGTGAAAAAGTGTGTCAGCTGGAAAGAAATAATCCCTGACCCCTCCGCCCTCCACTCTCCAGTGTCCCACTACTGAACTACAGAATGTACGCACTACAAAGGCCCTCAGATTATGACATGATGCTCTTCACTTCACCGGTGAGGAAACTGAGGAAGTGACTCACCCAGAGCCTCCAGGATAATCCAGTAAGAGATGGGCCTAGAACCCACGGATTTATTCCACACATAGATGAACCAGGCACCGGACTAGGTATTGGGACTCCAAGCTTGAATATGTTTCTTGCTTTCATTTTAGTGGTGTAGGTGCGATGGGAAAGTCTGCAGTTAGGGACCTCTCTAAAGTACTCAAGAGCAACGGTGTCTCTCTGGAGACTAAGGTGCGCCTGATACAGACCATGGTTTTTGCAATCACTTGTCATGCATCAGAGAGTTGGACAATGACTAGGGAGGATAGAAGGAGAATTGACGCCTTTGAGCTGTGGTGCTGGAGAAGAGTATTGAATGTACCATGGACTGCCAAGAAAACAAACAGATTCATCCTAGAGAGGGTTAAACCAGGCTGCTCCTTGGAGGCAAGGATGCTGGGGCTTCATCTGACATACTTTGGACATGTTGTAAGGAGGGACAGGTCTTTGGAGAGGCACATCATGCTGGGCAGAGTGGAGGGACGGCGCAGGAGGGGAAGACCCTCTATGAGGTGGATTGATTCAGTGACTGGGGTAATCGGGATGGTTATGTCGGAGGCAATGAGATTGGCACAGGATAGAGCAGGGTTTAGGGCTGTTGTACATAGGGTCGCTATGAGTCACAAACGACTCGACGGCACATAACAACAACAACAGGTGAAAAGGAAAGAAGAAACTAGAAGAGTAGAGAGAATGACTTTCAATTGGAATCAGGGAAGGCTTCTTGGAGGCAGTGACATTAAGGGAAGAGGTAAAGGACAGAGACATTAACTACTCAGAGAGGAAACACAGAACATTTTAAGCACAGAGATAAGACTCTAAGGCAGGAGAGATAAAAGAGCAGAACTAGAATACTACACACTGAAATATGGTTGATGTGGCATGGGCTAGATTGAAGTTTCACAAACTTTCATAATTTTGACTTACGGTAAGAATTCTTATTTTGTAAATGGAAATCCAAAGTCTCTCTAAATTTTCATTAAAATTAATAAAAAATATGATAAAAAAAGAATTATTTTGTAACCCTGTGTGTATGCATGCATGTATGAAACACAAGTTTCATAAAATATTTACCCTTGCTAGGTGTGATGCAATCTGTTTTAATTCTACTCTGCTTGATGTTGTTATGTGCTGTCAAGTCATCTGTGACTCACACTGACCCGATGTACAACAGCCCTAAACCCTGCTCTGTCCTGTGCCAATTTTATAGTCTCTGACACACCTACCCCCATTACCCCAGTCACTGGATCAATCCATCTCATTGAGGGTCTTCCTCTCCTGCGCTGTCCTTCCACCCTTCCAAGCATGACACCCCTCTCCAAGGACTGACCCCACCTAGCAACATGTCCAAAATATGTCAGATGAAGCTTCAGAATCCTTGCCTCCAAGGAATAGCCTGGCTTCACCCTCTCCAGGATGAACGTTTTTGTTCTCCTAACAATCCATGGTATATTCAATACTCTTCTCCAGCACCACAGCTCAAAGGCATCAATTCTCCTTCTATCATCCCTAGTCATGGTCCAGCTTTCTGATGCACAACAAGTAAGTGTTGCTTGCAACTACTATAGAGACTTCACTAACGAGCCACAAAATGCAGTTTCAAAACCCCAGAGCTCATGTGGAGTCCAGAGTCTGGCCTGGAGAGTGGGGAGAATGGAGTTTGTTTTGTAAATGGAAGCCTCAAACCAGCTTTAAGAGAAAGGCTAGGATGACTGGGTTTATACTCTATGATCGCCTTGCTGCTATGTGGGAAAAGTGGTGGTGGGGTAATGGACAGAGTAGAAGCAGGAGGCCAAGTGGGAGGCTTGTGTGGGGGTTGAGATGTGAATTGATGGTGGCTGAGACTAACACTTATGCAGCAGAGATAAAGTCAAGAAGATGGATTGGAGTCCTATTTTGGAGAGACAATCAAGAGGATTTGAGGACTGGGGGAGAGGTGACACTCCCTCACTCATGCCAACAGGAACCAGTATGAAATGCAGGCAGAGAGGACAGAATGTGGTGTCAGAAATAGGTAGATTCAAGTCTTAACTCTACCACCCCTCCTGTATTACCTTAGGGAAGTTCCTGGAGCTTTGTTGGCCTAAAGTGTCTGGTGGCTGCTGAGGGTCTAAGTTCCCGCTCCCACATGCCCAGCAGTGGGAAGAGGGGCAGTCCTGGTCATCACTAATTGCCTTGCAGCAGCGGGAAACAACTTGGGCTTTATCGTTACTGTTACGGGCTGGAGCGTTGGTTCTGACCCATAGCAACACCTTGCACCACAGAATACAACACTGCCTGGCCCTGTGTCATCTTCAGCATCCCGGTCATGTCTGAACCCACTGTTGTAGCTACTGTGTCTTTGTTGTTGTTTAGGGACCAGAACTTAGGGACGGGATGCAGGGGCAATATTTTTTTGTTTTGTTTGAAAAATAGAAATTTATTTTCTCACAGTTCTGGAGGCTAACAGTCCAAATCAAGGTCTCAGCTGTGTTAATTAATTGTCTGATACATTTCTTGGTACTTTGGATGGTGAAAGATACTTATCTGTCATCTATGTTCCCTGCTGTGTAATCTACACACTATTTTTTTAAAAAATTATTTTTCTTAATTTAAAAAAATTATTAATTTTAATGAAAGTTTACAAAGATTTTGGATTTCCATTCATTCATTGTTGCACTTTTCTCCCTGCCCCTCTCGCCAAGTTCACTCTTCTCTTTGAAAAGTAAAATTTTTTGTTATACAATCCTTCTCCCCAAGTCGACTCCACTATGCAGCCTTCATTCTGGACTCCTGTCATGACAATAATACCTAACCATATATCCCTTTTAAACAGTTCTCCCCCTCATCTGTTTCAATTCAGTATACATTATTTATCCCCTCTTTCTCAGTTTTCCCTCAACTCCAATGTCAGTCCCACTTTACAACAGAGGCACTATGCAATACTTGTCCTTCTGTGACTGAGATATTTCACTCAGCAAATGTCCTCCAGGGTCACCCATTTGTATATTTCATGAGTTCCTTGTTTTTCAATGCAGTATAGTATTCCATTGTGTGAATATACCACAGCTTCTCTATTCATTTGTTTATTGATTGGCACTTAGGTTGTTTCCAACTCATTGCTACTGTGAACAAAGCCATGATGTGTGTCATCACGTCATGGTGTGCATATCTGCTTGGGTGGCGGTTATGGTTTCTTTGGGGTAAATTCCCAGTAGTGGAATTTCTGGGTCAAATGGTATTTCTATTTCCAGTTTTTGGAGAAAGCACCATAGAGCCTTCCATAGTGGTTGTATCAGCAGAGGCAATATTAAAGGTGTCTCAATCCCGAAGTAGCCAAAAATAAGACCCCAAGAATAGATGGTATACCAAATGACATATTTCAGCTAACAGATGCTGCCCGGGATGTGCTCACCAAGTTGTGCCAAGAAATATGGAGAACAACCACTTGGCCAACTGACTGGAAGAGATCTATATTTGTTCCCATTCCAAAGAAGGTGACTCAACAGAGTGTGGAAACTATAGAACAATATCATTGATTTCACATACAAGCAAATTCCACTGAAGATTATATCCCAAAACGACTGAAACAGCCCATTAGCAGAGAACTGCCAGAAGTCCAGGCTGGGTTTAGAAGGGGTCGTGGTACTAGGGATATTGTAGCTGATGCTAGATGGATCTTAGCTGAAAGCAGGGAATACCAGAAGAATGTCTATCTGTGTTTCATTGACTATGCAAAGGCGTTTGACTGTGAGGATCATAACAAACTGTGGCTGACTCTCAGAAGAATGGGAGTCCCAGAACACTTGACTGTGCTAATGCGAAACCTATACTTGGACCAAGAGGCGGTCGTCAGAACAGAGCAAGGAAACACTGCATGGTTCAAAATTGGGAAAGGTGTAAGCCAGGGATGTGTCCTATCTCCATACCTTTTCAACCTGTATGCAGAACAGATTATCCAAGAGGCTGGGTTCTATGAAGAGAAGTGTGGCGTCAGGATTGGTGGAAGATATATCAACAATCTGCATTATGCAGATGACACAACCCTGCTTGCTGAAATTGAGGAGGACCTGAAATGCTCTGCAGAGGGCCAAGGACTGTAGCCTTCAGTATGGATTGAGGCTCAATGTCAAGAAGATAAAGATTCTCACCACTGGACCAATTGGCAGCAACAGGATGGATGGTGAAGAGATTAAGATTCTTAACAGCTTTAGTCTGCTTGGCTCTGCGGTCAACACTCTTGGCACCAGTAGCCAGGAAATAAAAAAAACATATTGCAATGGGAAAGTCTGCTGTTAGGGGCCTCTCCAGGATACTGAAG